ATTTATTCCGTTTTCAAGGAACTGGATTTTGCCAACAACTTTGCCAAGGATGGCACAGGCCGCAGTGAATGGGGTGTTGGCGGGGTTTGCCGGGATGGAACCGCCGGGTTTTGAAGCAAAAACCGTTTCAGAGGTTGCCTTTTTCTTGGTGAAGTTGCGCCACCCGGCCGAGAAAACATATGTGACCCACGTTTGAAACTTTACATATTTGGGATGTGTTGGGGTTCCGGATGCCTTGAAAGAGTTCAATTCTCCCGGATGCGCCATCCTGGGAGGCCCCTACCGAGATTCGGGCCTTGGGGATGCTTTTGCGGCGGCACTGAATGCACCTGCGGAGATTCATGTGCCCCTCGGTGAACATGACATGAACCGACGGAGGTTCGTCGTGGACCGGATCCAACAATCAGCAAGGTATACGACATTTGCATATACAAAGGTTTCGTAGCAAACGTGACCAGGTCATCATTTTGGTCGGTGCATGATCATGTCACACCCCTTGGAACTAACATGACAGTTGAAAATTGCTTTCTCCAGGGAGAACAATTACATCTGGACATTGGGTCTATTGATTTCTGCCGATTCCATATTCAGTATTGAACTGCAGATAATTTCCAGTTCATGTTTGCTGCCCAGTTCCAGTTCCAATTCAATCCCTACAACTATGCGACTCCATGTTGTTTTTTGTTGGGGTATGCTTGTGCACCCACATGTTTGGATGCCAAAAGTCGGTGCTAAGGAGTTTATACAAAATGGCAACACTACATTTGTGATGGTAGATTTAAAAGGCAATTATGTTGCAGCACGCAAGAGAATACTCTAAAACACAAGCTAGGCGCTAGCGTGGCGCTTGTGGGGCGCCAGCGTTTTTTTGAATCTGCTTTTGATTGCTAGAAGCCATTTGCTTGGACCACATGTTTAATCTGTGATGTGCAGTTTCATAGGGCTAGCAGGAGCAAGGACACAACTTCAAATGGTTGGCATGTTGCACTATTCCTAGTGAGCTTGCTTTGCTCATTTTCACACCTTGTCTTTGACAGGGCAAAGTATGAGCTGCACTTGACAAACGACAAAGCCCACACGAGTCGGCAGAGCAAACAGCTCAAGCAAATGCAGCAAAGCAGCTGTACAGAGAGCAGCTCCTCTAGCACTGCCGACGACAGCTCTAGTCAGCTTAGGTACAAGAGTATGCGCTAGTGTATTTTGCTGTGAAACGAACAAAACCATACCATAAAACAAGGTTTCACCATTAGTGTTGGTTATATGGTAAACATGAAACGGCACGCAAGGAATCCTGCATTCGCGCCGTTTTCGGGAATAAGACTTTAGTCAACCGAACACATGCCAGACAGTGATGCTCAATTGTTCAATCATGTTCTTTGGGCATCACCACTTCCAAGTGCTTCTAAAGCTCCGAGCCCGGTGCCGAGGACACCTTGGGCTCCCTATCGCCCTTCGGGTGGACAGCTGGCGAGCTTCCTGTGTACTGGAGTCAGCAGCTGAGCTGCACCGGGATGCCATAGATCCTCAAGGAAATCCGAGCAGAAATTCTGTTATATTTCTAATGTGGACTGTTGGTTAGGAACAACTTCCCCATTTAGATTGTAAAAACCTCTTTGTGGGGTCGTTTAGTAATCATCAACAGTCGAGCCGGTGTTCCACGTCCATGATATATTTACTGTATATAAGGAAACCAGCCCTGGAAACAAATCAGATAGCTTCATACAATACAGGCTGCACGGCTAGTATGAACACCGGAGCAAAGTGTTTCTGAGACTCAGAGAGCCCCAAACATTGTTTTGGGGCCCCCCCAAACATTGTTTTGGGGCCACCCACCAAACATTGTTCTTGAGCCATGGGCCACTTGTGAAATCGGTGGCCACCGATTGTGTGTCTCCATTCCCTACCCAACAAGACGACATGTGAAGAATGGTTTGTGTCCAGTTGTTGGATGCTAGTTGTTTTGAACAAGAATCATGTGGGAGTGGTGAAAACAAGAGAGCTGCCGAACACCGCTGACTTTGTTTGCACTTCGTAAGACAGCAAGTTGGTCCAAGCACAAGATACAAGATACAATCCAAATCGGTGAGAGTTTGCGGGCACGCCGTTGTGTGGAGCATTTCTTACAAAAAACGATAAAGGGTTGACGGTCACCTGGTGGCAGTGCGTGTCATTCAGGCAATTGAAGGTAGCCCTTTCATCCAAGTTTGGGCGTAATATGGCGTAATTATGATTTCGACCCTGGATTTGGCTGACACAAGAAAAACTCAAGAACATCGGCCTTATGTTCGTTGACATGATCCGCCTGGGCACTTCTTTTGGAAAGCCTACAGCCTACACCAGTTGAGATTCAGCACGACTTTTCGCAGATCATTGGAATGAACATGTTTGGCACGTATACTGTATCAATTTATAGTGGTCTCCAAATAGGTAGAAAAGTAGATCCCCAGTAAAAATGTATTCAACACCGTTTCTATCTATTTGGGGACCACTATAATGTTTGTAGGTGGTTTGGCCACTTGGCCGAAAGTGGCCATCAACCCATGTTAGTTCTTCATGTATTTCTCTACTTGAAACATTATACCATATGTGTAGAATGACATTTCATAACTAAGACCATCGCAGGGCCGAAGCCAGGGGGGCGGTGGCTTCATCAATGAGGCTTGCTTGTAAAAGGTTCCACTTTCGCTAGATGGAAGCGTGGTAAGGCTAGAGAAAGGGCGTTTGTTCATTGCAGGGCAGAATGTGACCATTCTCAGATCTTCCATAGGCAGCCACTTGAGTTCAGCGAAACCCAATAGCCACTGAAAGCGGAAGTGGCAGATTTGGGTGTGCTTGCGCTTGGTTCGACAGGATGCCAGTTACAATCCAAATTAGAGTGGCGTGCACAAACGGCACTACTTTGGCTTCATGCTACGTAAGAGCTGCGCAGTAGTTCACAAGCACACCTAGGGTTGTGGAACACAAAGTGTTTGGCTTTCCTCTCAAGAAGGCATTGTTCTCTTGCAACGCTTCTATTCAATACCAGATGTATTGCGATGACGTGGCATTGCAGCACTGTTCTAATTACCATTTGAGATGCACAGTCAGTGCATCCATCAAAATTCAGATCCCCACTAAAAATGTATTGGAAACTGTGCCACTATCTATTTGGTCACCACTATAAAGATGGACAGTCTTCAGACTCCTGCCATGAAGTCACCACCAAGGTGAAGGGGCGGTGCTCATCGGAGTCTTTTGTGCACAGATGCCTTCGGAGACGCAGCCGGTCACTGTCACCACGATGGAGGAGTCTTTGCACCTGGCCGTCCATTCCATGAGCACGGCGACCAGCGACTGGGCAGAGAAGGAACATGTTATTGGCCAGATGTAGTGGGATGGGCGAGGAAACCAGTCGTTTTGCCCAAGTAAGTGATGCGGTCTTTGTCTCAGGCCAAACGTAAGAGTACAAGCTTGTACTGTGATTTTCCTCACAGTTCAAGCCTTCCACAACAACTCATGCGTGTAGAGCCCACGTGTCTTTCACGCTGTTTGCCACCGCTTCCCGCATTCCGCAACCAAAGACCACCGCTGAATTGCCCCAAATCCGCCCGGTCGGTTCCACGCTGGTTTGTGCGGACATTTCAATCCACATCGGTCGATTGAGATGATTGGTTGGTTCATTGGCCAGAAGGCTGTCCTCAACATCCCGTTTGAATGACCCATTTCATGACTGTCAACATGTGGGAAACCCATTCCACATCATGGAGGTAGTACAGCACACCCCCTAGGGCCCTGGCCACACCCGATATATTCAGAACGGACAGGTCCGACAGGTAATAACAGGTGTGCTTGATGCAAAGCTTGAACAAGCCCCCTCCCCAACAAGTGGATAAATTGGGGGTTGCAGGTAGTGGGGTTCAGGGGTTCAGTTGTTAGGCTGTTTTATGTGTTGTCCATGTTCCGATTCCACATGTTTGCCTGTTATGCTTTATGTTGAGATTCACCGTTTTTCCTTGATGTTGATTTTTTGTCAACAGCTTCAGTGACGAAATGTTATTCGATAAGGTTGGTCATTGTTTGGGATCGTTTGTTTGATGCCGGTGTTCAATCCTTGTCCTTGCCTTTGGTCGTTTTCCTGGGGAGTTGTTAGGTTTTTTTTTTGGTCCGTGAGTGTCCTGTGTGGGAAGTCTTTTGTCTCCAAACCGAAGGTTTTTTTTTTGCCATCTTCAATTGTCATTGTTTCGATCAACAAGTTAAGTTCAGCCACCCATGGCATGGAATGCTTCTGCTCCAGCAGTACTTCAAAGACGTGAGTGTGAGGAACGCAGATTTACCAAACTGCCAACGTCTTGAAGGGGCAACAGCATGAATTTCACCGGCGCATATTGTTGCATCATGGAAAAGCACACCTCCAGATGACAAGATAGGATGGAACAATGCATAGCAATGCACCACCTTTTCGTCCTCATAAACATCGTTTTCACTGTCATCAGTTGCCCTCGCTGTTAGACATGGACGCTGGTCGTTGGGCTAGTGATCGGGGGCTGGTCTTGGACAAGCGCTTTCGCCCCACAGAATGCCCATGGAGTCACGTTCCGTTCAATCAGGCAAGCGCAGGTCAAGGCTGGGCTGCGTGGTCAAGGCTGTATGGACTCTACTCTCAATTGTTCAACGAGAGTTGCGCATGGCTTGGTAGGAGACATGCAGTCGAACTATAACCAGCGACGCTTGGATGCTAACTCCATCAAGGCTATGAAGAGCAGCTTCCTGTTCATGCAAGCGGCTCAGGAAGGAGAAAGGTATGAGTGTGAAAGACTGCAAGTGAAAATGCTGAGAAGAAAGAAACTGCCAAGGCAGCGCAGGCACAGAAAAGCAAGATTACAAAACAGAGCCAACAGTCTTCGGTCATCCCCATTTGCACTGAGCACGGCTACACGGCTACCCCTACAAGGTGGCATTCGCAGGACTAAATCTGATTGTGCATTTCATCATTGCCCCAGAAGTGCTTCCTTGCTTCATGTATGATGATGTATGAGTTGTTCGTCAAGAAGTGTCAGATGGGAGCGCCTTGCCCGCCTTCTGCTGGCGATTTGTGGTGGCTCTATCAACTTGGACGCTGCTCGCAACTTCAAAATATTTATTTCAATAGGATTGGCGGGCAGTTCTCACTGGGTTCTGTGGATGTGGCAAGGACATGGAAGAACCGTTGTATTTTTCGACTGGGACAAACCAGCTTTTGCCAATTCTTGCTTTTTAAGTTGTTCTTTTGTGAGGAGGATGCTGGCGAGCACCTCACTAACATCGTTGTGGATAAGTTTTCACCGGCCATGGCCTTCAAGAGTGGTGAGGGCATGCAAATTGTGTCAGAGGAGAATGTCGCAGGCATGGTCCCATGGAAAGCAACGAAGCCGGATCTGTGGAAAGAGGTCTTTCCGGAGACCCGGAAAAACTTTATCCTCTTTGCTTCTACGCGTTGATGACTTCCGTGGCAGAGACGTTTTTTCATTTCTTTGCCATTCCATACGCCAGCAAGCCCCTGTAAGGCGATCCTTGACGAAGGTTTCATCACCAGCGATGAAACGGCGAGTGAATGATGACAGTTTGCCTTCAATCGACTTCAGCAGTTCTTTGCAGGATAACCACACTTCTCTACCAAGCTCTGCGTAGCATGCCTTGCTGTTTGCAGTTTTCGCTGAAAGGCCAACTTCTTTGAAGACCTACAGCCTCTTTGAAAAGAGCCACCGCTTTCAAGATGCCAAGTCCTGATATGTGGGTTTTAGTCTTGACATGTTTTGACCTTTTTGTTGAACAGTTTTCCAATTCAGAATTCAGACCTTGAAAAGCGACAAATGCTTCTCTGGCATGCTATGGCTCTTTTGACGCATTATATAACCTTAACTGAAGCCAACCCCAAAACATATTGTTGGCAAACCTTTGGGAAACGCTTCTTGGACAACTTCTTGGCTGCTTTGATTGTAATGCAGTCGGAGGGGTGGCTGAACTGTCGAAACCTACCCGGCTGAAACATACTTAGTGGAGCCTGTGCACGTGGCAGTTTGATCATACAGAAGTTCGATGGCTTAAGACGCTGATGGTGTGTAATGATGCACTGTCACCCGCCACGTGTTTTGGTACATGTGTGAGGTGTCTTTGGGGGGGTGGGAGCTTGGATTTGACAAAGACAGCTTTTTTGGGTAGACTTCGCTGCTGGAGATGTTCAGATCAGAACACCGAGACAGACCGAGACCATTGACCATCCATGCATGGAATAGCTGAATAGCTGAATACCTTGTTTCATTCATGATATTACGGTAATGAATAGGGGTAAATGTATGTCACTATTCCATACATGGATGGTTTGGGACATGCAATTGGCACGACATTGCCTCATTTATGGAACTCCCTTCTAACCACACCAGCACGTTCTGCATTGCATGTTTCTCGTGTCATCATGTTTGTTGGCTAACGAGAGGTGTCAGACACGCAAATGGGCAAGTGTAGTGCAGTAGTTCAGATCCAACTGGCCATTTGGAACTTCAGTTTGTTTGACAAGTAGCCTGCAAAGGCACCGTTGGCGGATGCCCATCCATGCAAGTTGGGCGCGTGCCATTACAAAGGGCCCTTCGGATTTGGTATATACCAAAAACCAGGACAATACACGACACACATTGCAATCGTTTAACCATGTCTAACCTATATAGTTCGTCATTTCTGTTTCGATCTGTTTCGAAGGGACTGCGGTTGCAGAAAAACATTCTGCACCACCTCAATGTTGAGAATATTTGCAATGGTTTGGGCCATGTGCAACGCACAGGTATCAGCCTGCAGTACGAGTCAATTGTGGTTACAGTTGCAGTACATATATTAAACATAATTACCAGCAGATACTGTATCTACGAGTTCCCGGCAATGTGCAGCCCGCTTGAGTGGAGGTCATTTCGAACATCCGGTGTCGTGCACACCAGACGTGTCGATGGCCTATTGGGAGCTCCTGTTAGCGAGCCCTGGCACACAAGAGTTGACACCAAGACAGCATGGGCATAGGTCCCCCAAGTCCGGATACTGGATCTCTCAAAGCTCTTAGGGCTACGTGTTTTTTAATAGGACAATTTGGGGTTGCCTCAACACGGTTTTTGGGAACCTCCCGGCTGAGCTCCGCCCTGAGGGCCATGCACTTGCCTTGTCTTGTTTTACGGATGTCTACCATGTGTGCGGACAAGTGACAAGTGGTTCTCGTATGTTCTCGTCACGGGTGTCGGCTGCGTTTCCCCCCAAGCATTCAAGCCTTGAAGAGCTGACATCCGCGGCATTTGTTCCAAAAGAAGTGTGACAGTGACAGTACCAAATTGTGTTTTGCCGATGCAGATGCGGGCACAGCACTTTGTGAACCTCCATGTGCAGATTTCGTGGCAGGCGCAGCACTTTGTGACAACACACACCGAGACGTCAGGTGTTTCGAGGTGAGAAGGTACGGGTCATGGTAACCCATACGGCTGTGGGTCATGGCACCAGGATACCTACCGCGGTTGTTCCCTTACCTGGTTCGCTAGATGGATGTTTCGGCTCCAGGTTGAACCCATCCCCATCTCCCGGCCGCCTTCCTCTTCATCCTCTTCTAGCGGCCTCCAAGCTAGAAGCAACGGCCTTGGAAGTCCACTAAGGCCGCAGGTGACACGTTCCATTTCGGAGGTCTAACCATTTGCCGTCCTCAACGATGCCTTGGTTTTGTGTGCTTTTGGCTCAGCTGTTTCGCTTGCACCATCGTTTTGTGGAACGGTTTGCCAGTTTGGTCGGGGGGTTCCAGCCAGACAGTTTGGAGTCCAAGGAACATGGGCAGCTTGGAGTCCAAGAGCTACTGGATGGAGACAGAGCCCTTGGGCCGGAGAGCCGATTGGGTGAGAATAGCTGATCAAACAGCCTAGTGACTCGTAGTGTTGCCCCTTTGTGTTAATATTTGATCATGTTTGTATAGGGTATGGAGGACTTTAGTTACAGGAAAGCGAAACAAGACGTCCACATCAGAAGAAGAACAGAAAGCACACTCGGGTCAGACATAAGCATCCAGACGTCAGCATCGGGTCTGCGGGAGTCTTTGTGGAACTGTGTCACAGGATCAAGTGCTGAGGGTGCAATGTTGATTTGAGGGGCCGGAGCCCCTCCCCCTCAAACCAAGACATTCTATGAGTGATATGGTTGGTTTGAGAATGTTTGAGACTATGGACTTGCGGTCGCGCATAAAATATGTGCATGTCAGACCCTACTTGTCAAGAACAGCAGTCCAGGGTCCAACTTTTCCCCCTTTGACCCTGTACAGAGCGGACTTGAAATGGTTTCTGACCATCGCCCACTGGCCACTTCTTCCATCAAGGAATTCACAGTGACACACCGGTTTCTTCAGTGGTCAGGCCAAGAAGACCCTCATCCTTTTTCCACATACCTCCATCTACTCAGATTCCAGTCCAGGGCGGCTTCACGATTGAACTGGCCAGAATCTGAGGTTCCTTTTGCTGAACTCCGGCTACTCACATCATTGGTTGGAACAAGCTGCTTTGGGCCTCGAGGCTCAAAAGGCGCCCAGTTCGGGTTCAGAGCCACGGCGGAGGACCCCATGGCCAGCCGGTGATTAGTTGGTTGTTTTGGGCCGCCCTTTTGTGATTCTGAGCGGGCATCACCTCCAGACGAAGCATGGGTTCCATGTCGTCTTGCGCTTTGAGTGTATCTACGAGATGGGCAATCCAGCACTACACAAAGGCACTAAGGCACTGGAATCCTTTGAGCCCTTGAGGTGGATTCCAGTGAAAACCAAAGAAGTCGGAGGAATCCGGGCCTTTTCGAAAGAACCAAGAGACGGAGGCCAACCTCTTGGCCTCGGTCACCTGGGAGTTGAGCAACGCCATCCACGATTTCACCTTCGCCTGGGAGGTAGGGGCATGGAGATGGGCGGAGGGTATGGTGTTGATGTGTTTTTCTTTTGGGGTGTTCGGAGGTTTATTTTACTGTATAGGTTTGTTATTAACAAGGAACATGTTGAATCATTTGATGTGCGTGTGTGTTGCGTTCTTCTTTTGCGGGGGGAAGTTCTGTTTTTCCCCACCTGCCAGGTGAGGGTTGTTAGATTTTATCACAGTTGTTCTTCCTCCTCCGCCTCCGCCTCCGCCGCCTCCTCGCCCTCCTCCTTCCTCCTTCCTCCTTGCTTCCTTCCTCGCCAATCTGCTTCGCCGATCGTGTCTGGCCAGCTCCGGATCGCAGTGTGCACCCCTGGACCTCAACCGCAAGGATCCCCTCGCAGTGTGCACCCCTGGACCTCAACCGCAAGGATCCGATCGCAGTGTGCACCCCTGGACCTCAACCGCAAGGATCCGATCGCAGTGTGCACTGCTGGACCTCAACCGCAAGGATCCGATCGCAGTGTGCACCGCTGGACCTCAACCAGATAGTTTGCCAGATAAAATCCACAAACACACAATCTCAAACACACGACCACAAACACGCAACCACAAACACACACCCACAAACACAATCACAAACTCACAATCACAAACACACAACTACAAACACAACTACAAAGACACAATCACAAACACATAACCACAAACACACAACCACAAACACACAACCACAACCACACAACCACAAACACACAATCACAAACACAATCACAAACACGCAACTACAAACACAATCACAAACACACAACTACAACCACAGCTACAAAGACACAATCACAAACACACAACCACAAACATACACACAACACACAACCACAAACACACACACAAGCACACAACCACAAACACACAACCACAAACACACAACCACAAACACACAACCACAAACACACAAACACACAACCACAAACACACAACCACAAACACAACCACAAGCACATCCACAAACACAACCACAAACACACAACCACAACCACAAGTACAAACACACAATCACAAAGACACAACCACAACCACAACTACAAACACATAATCACAAAGACACAACCACAACCACAACTACAAACACATAATCACAACCACTACCACTACCACAAACACAACCACAAACACATCCACAAACACACAACCACAAACACAACTACAAACAGACAATCACAAAGACACAACCACAACCACAACTACAAACACACAATCGCAAAGACACAACCACAACTACAAACACACAATCACAACCACTACCACAACCACTACCACAACCACAAACACACAACCACAAACACACAACCACAAACACAACCACAACCACAACACAGCACACAACCACAGCACACAACCCGAGGACCCACAAGCAACATCGAGAACTACAATACTAACGACTATGGCAACATGCTCCTCACTATGGCATCAAGACAAATGATTGAAATGTCATGGTGGGGATCACTCGAAGTAAAGTAATTTTACTGATAGTTTCTTTTTGGATGTGCTTTTGGAGTTGGAGTGGCTGATCTATGATGTGCGATGTGGGA